CATACAAAGAAGCAGGATAACAGAGAGAAAAGTACATAAAGCAGCACAAAGGGATGTATGCACACGGGGGGGGTGCAGACAAGGACGAATCCAACACAGCCACAAGGTAAGAGAGGAGCACAGAAGTAAAGGGGTGACAGCACAGCAAAGGAAGATACACTGGAAGGTAAGAGACGGAATTGAAGTACAAGAAGCAACACACAAAGGCTGGAGAGGGAAAACAGTAGAAGTGAGGCAATGACGCACAGTATAGAGAGACGCACAGCACACAGGTGAAAGCGATTAAGGTCTGCAGCAATATACTAAAGGTAACCACTGAAATACTATAGTAGGGGCGCAAGGAGCAAAGCCGGGGATAACACCAAATAGTGATACCAGCTGATACCAGGAAGCCAAAGGCACAAGGATCCAATAGCAAGCGCAGGGACTAAGATCCCAGGAATCATTAGAGCCACACGGGGTAAGGCATAAGACTTGCTGCTCACACCAAGAGCAACAAGTGAGGGAGTCCTAAATAGGGAGGGAGGAGTGCTGATTGGCTGCAGCCTTGTGAGACACCATAGGCTGACAGCCCAGAACCAGGGAGCAAAGCGAAAAATCCGGCACGGATTTCCGGATATTGTGACCTGTATCGGTGTGCAGGGCGTCTTACAGGCCCACTGCATCCTGTATGTTAGCCCAGTAGGTGTGCGATTACACGGGCAGCCATGCTTCCATGGGCCGGCCTTTGCTGTACATTGGCAGCGGCTCCTGTACAGAGTACGGCCTTCAATACAGCAGCATTCAACGCAGCAGTTCGAGCCTGGTACTGGAGAGACTGGTACAGGTCATCAGCAGCTCACGGGGAGAAGACAGGTTCTCCTACAGAGCCCATTCACTCAGAAGCGTTCCAGTGCGGTGCATTAATGCCCGGCGAGTATCTGTGAACATTCACTCTGTGTGAATATATGCAAAACGAACATTCTTTACTTATTTTCTGTACAAGTTCAATGAACTTTCGAATGTCTTCATGTAATGTCACACTGTGGCCACTAGATGGAGCTCAAGGTGCACAGGAAATAGGTTTTTCTTTTCTATGCTCCTCTGCGCCATCCGGTGGCCATGTTGCGGTATGACATAAAATACAAAACCTTGTCCTAAAAGAACGTTCGCTTCGGCATATATCTGCACAGAACAAATGTTCACAGATATTGGCAGGTCGATGGTTTATAAATAGACCCCTAAGAATGCGGTGCACAGAGCAGCCTGGCACCTCCTGAGGTTTTGCTGCCCCAGGCTGTTGCCTTTCCACGGGCCTGGCACCATTGCTCTTCACATGTCCGATAAACTCTGACACATGAGCTGTGTTATCATCCGTTTCCCCGGATGGCACATTGATAAGTAACATGTTTACAGTTGTCACATGATAGGATACAATGCCGTTTTACAGTCCACGTGTTGTTGTCACGTCTTATCACAAGGACTTCAGATTGTAAAATGTGCCCTGCAGGTACGAGGAGAGCCCGTGACGTGACGCACCCCGCCCTGAATATCCAATACGGAGACAGGGAAAGCGAGAAGATGGACGTGTACCTCCCCCAGGAGACAAGTGAGGCCTTCTAGGAACATGACTCAAACAATTGTGGACCTCCGAGACCTGAAGTCTATTTAACCTCTTGGGTACCAGTTTGTATAGACCCGACAGTACCAGCTCGGTGCTGTGATAGTTTGACCGACAATTACTCAACACGCAACAATGTATCAGAAGGAATAGACAGAGATTTCTTTGCCTGTCATTTAAAGGAGAAGTACGGGGTCAGGGCTTTTCCCCCATAGTTCTCCTTAGGGTAACGGGAGGACACAAACCAGCGTCCTCCCGTCACCCTAAGCTCAGTATATAGGGAGCTACAGCTCGCGGTATACTGAGACGCCGCGGCTGAAGCGGATCCAGACGTAGATGACGGGATCCGCCCAGCTGCGTGACTGACAGCTGGCTCCGCCTATCTAGAGGCAGAGCCAGCTGTACCCGCCCCCTCCCCCGTCCGTTCCGCCAGTCAGCGCTGGAGGATCGGAGCGGGGAGGGGGGAATCCAGCCCCTCCCCTGTCACTGCAGAGAGCAGTGACAGGATCGAGAGGTGAGCGAACGCCGGTATGTGTTCGCTCACCTCCCGATCTACTGAGCCGACCTGTGACAGTCTCATTGTCACAGGTCGGCTAGAACTATGAGGGTGAGTGAAAAGCACCCCTCCCCCCCTCATAGTTCTCCTTTAATAACCAAATATAAAGGAAGAAAAGACCAAAAATGACCATTTCTTTACCTTTTAAAAAAGATCCCATTGGTGGTTGGTCAGTGACAGTTTAACCCCTCCCCCCTTCACCTTGATCCTCCTTCCTGCTTGTGTTTACAAACATTCAGCCCAATCACGAGGCAGGAAGTGGAGCTTCCTCTGAATGCGCTAAATGTTTGTCAACGCGACTACCGTTTACACTTGTGATGGCTGAGCCTGTGATTGGTTCACAGTGATCACAAGGTACAAAGCCACTCCGATTGGCTCTTTACATCATGCCTGTGCCCAGTGGATCAGATTGCTGCCGCAGTGCGTTCCCTGAACTGTCGTATAGGCCTCATTCGCACAGCTAAGAGCCGGCCCGTACAGATCCGTGCGGCATGCACGGCCGTGTCGGGCCCTTCCCTGGAAGGACAGGCGCTGCGTGTGATTTGTACGCAGCCCCCGTCCTTCTCTATGGGAGTACGCCGCCCTACGCTCACCCGAGCTGCACATCCGTGCGGGTGCGGGTGTCTGCGGTCGGACGCAGGCAGGATCCATCTTTTCTGCGTACGAGTACGGACACCCCCCACCCGCACGGATGTGCAGCTCGGGTGAGCGTAGGGCGGCGTACTCCCATAGAGAAGAACGGGCTGCTGCGTACAAATCACACGCAGCACCTGTCCTACCCGGGAAGGGCCCGACACGGCCGTGCATGCCGCACGGATCTGTACGGGCCGACTAAGCAATGTGAATGAGGACTTATAAAAGGCACTCCAGAAATACCCGTCCACCTCCAATATGGCAGAGGGGTGACTCCGTCTGTGTCCTGGAAGCGGTGATTCACCATTTGTATTTTTCCTGCCGATCATTGGGACAGAATGTGAGCGGAAATCAGAAATGTTACAGATGTCACCGCGACAGAAATAGAGGGGAAATCTTCCAATGGGGATACCTGTTCCGGTGACAACTAAGAGGGTACTTCAGGCGGGAGAGATTTCTCACTTCCTGTTAAAGGAGAACTATGGGGTTAAGGCTTTTCCCCATAGTTCTCCTTAGGGTAACGGGAGGACACAAACCAGCGTCCTCCCGTCACCCTAAGCTCAGTATATAGGGAGCTACAGCTCGCGGCATACTGAGACGCCGCAGCCGGAACGGATCCCGACAATTATGTCTGGATCCGCCCAGCTGCGTGAGTGACAGCTGGCTCTGCCTATCTAGAGGCAGAGCCAGCTGTACCCGCCCCCTCCCCCGTCCGTTCCGCCAGTCAGTGCTGGAGGATCGGACAGGGTAGGGGGGAATCCAGCCCCTCCCCTGTCACAGCCGGCACAGGATCGAGAGGTGAGCGAGCGCCGGTATGTGTTCGCTCACTTCCCGATTTTCTGAGCTGACCTGTGACAGTCTCATTGTCACAGGTCGGCTCAGATTATGAGGCTGAGTGAAAATCACCCCACCTCATAATTCTCCTTTAAGTCTCTTGGACAGGAAGTGAAGGGAAATCTCTCCAATTGGGGGGGGGGATCACGGTGTGATAAGACCCTTTTCGGTGACCAGCTGTCTTGCCGTTCCAGGTTTCCCTCTGCTGGTTTATATTCATGGAGGATACTGGCAGTTCCTCAGGTAAGTCAGCACAAAAGTCAAATATCTGTGTTGCCGTGGCAGCCAATGAGCTGTTCTGGTTCTCTTCAGTATCCAGGGTGGCGGGCATACTTCCAGCATTGAGGTGAGGTGTGAGTGTGAGGCCCTGTTACTTTGGTGGGTACGGGAAGGTAATTCACCTAATTTCCTTAAGGTGCCCCCCACCGGCCTTTAGCTAGGGGTATATATATAGCAAGGAGGGGAGGAGTTGTGGGGGGCGGAGTTGGTGGTACAACATCTTCCTCCCGTTTATGGCGTTCCCCCCCTATGGTTGTTCTTCCTCGAATTGCTCCCACCAGTGTAACTGGAGGAGTCTTTCGATAAAGTACCTTCAGTGGGCCAGAGACCTGAACTGGGCCCGCCATGGAAGATGGAACCATCTCAGATATGTTGCCATACCTCATATACTAAAGCTGAAGGTGAATGAGTCTCGTTATTCGTGAATCTGAACCTATCCTATACCCGGGAAGTGAAGGCTTTAACAATGGCTTGGCCAAGAGATGGGTGGTGGCCAAGTGATGGTAGGCTGGCTGGCCAGCCTGGGGGTGGTGGTGCTGGGTCCCCAGGTGCCCTGTAGCCTGTAATTGTTTCCCCTGGTGTTCATTGAGACCGCCAATGGTCCAGACATGCAAGCATAGACTATGGGGCCCCTTGTGGTGGTGCTGGGTCCCCACGTGCCCTGTAGCCCGTAATGTTTTCCCCTGGTGTTCATTGAGACCTCCAATGGTCCAGACATGCAAGCATAGACTATGGGGCCCCTTGTGGTGGTGCTGGGTCCCCACGTGCCCTGTAGCCCGTAATGTTTTCCCCTGGTGTTCATTGAGACCTCCAATGGTCCAGACATGCAAGCATAGACTATGGGGCCCCTTGTGGTGGTGCTGGGTCCCCACGTGCCCTGTAGCCCGTAATGTTTTCCCCTGGTGTTCATTGAGACCTCCAATGGTCCAGACATGCAAGCATAGACTATGGGGCCCCTTGTGGTGGTGCTGGGTCCCCACGTGCCCTGTAGCCCGTAATGTTTTCCCCTGGTGTTCATTGAGACCTCCAATGGTCCAGACATGCAAGCATAGACTATGGGGCCCCTTGTGGTGGTGCTGGGTCCCCACGTGCCCTGTAGCCCGTAATGTTTTCCCCTGGTGTTCATTGAGACCTCCAATGGTCCAGACATGCAAGCATAGACTATGGGGCCCCTTGTGGTGGTGCTGGGTCCCCACGTGCCCTGTAGCCCGTAATGTTTTCCCCTGGTGTTCATTGAGACCTCCAATGGTCCAGACATGCAAGCATAGACTATGGGGCCCCTTGTGGTGGTGCTGGGTCCCCACGTGCCCTGTAGCCCGTAATGTTTTCCCCTGGTGTTCATTGAGACCTCCAATGGTCCAGGCATGCAAGCACAGACTATGGGGCCCCTTGCAACTAAATTGTGACTAGGTGTGCGTCTCCTGACATGGCCCGCAGTCCGAGAGCGATGGAACTACGTAGGTTTCCCACCTCCCGGTGCAGGAACTGGGGTAACAGTCCATGTAATTGGTCAGGCAGCTTTGATTGTATACAAATTGAATGGACCGGTAACGCTGACTCTTATATAATTTTGGGAGATCCAAAAAAGATTGTTCACGCAGATTGTAACGCGTATGGCCAGGTGTAGACATAGTGACGGGACGTACCTAAACCATCCTTTCCTTATACAGTATATACACATATGGAGGTTGTGCTGTACAATCCGGTTGTAAGGTGCGGGGCCAGATCTAACAGGCGTCAGACGGGACAGGAAGTGGCGGGAAATCGTCCATAACGGGGGACCGGACAGAAATATTTTTGGCCTTTTTTCCTCATCCACACGAATATTTTTTGGATATCTCCTTACAATGCGTTTTCCCTTCCGTTGTCAGTAAAGAGGAATCGGGATTCGTGGTCCCCCCGCTGGTGTCTCGCGGTATTGCAGTGATGGCGATGGATTACGATCTCGCTCCTCGCGGTGAGAGCGCCGACGCAGAATTTCTCCCGCGCGGACGAACGTTGCCTTTCCTAAAATTAAAAATGTTTAAATATTTCTTATGTTTTATTCCTCTCAGGTGACATGGACCTCATTGTGTCGCAGGTCAGACGCAGCGTCGCCGCCGCTCTGGAACGCTACCCTCAGATTAGGTGAGTTTGAACATAACGGGTGACGGGTCAGATTTTCTCACCTGCGGCGGACCGGATAATGAATAAAATGTCTGCAAAGGCTCCTCTCCGCCCCATTGTTTTTATTTTGCCGCCATCTGTCTAAATGTGACATTGTCGCGTGCGGTCGGGTCGGCGTGCAGCATTTTATAAAAAAATACATTTTTAAAAATTATTTTCCTATCAGCTGTCACTCACGCAGCTGGGCGGATCCAGATATAATTGTCGGGATCCGCTCCGGCGTCTCAGTATACCGCGAGCTGTAGCTCCCTATATACTGAGCCTAGGGTGACGGGAGGACGCTAGTTTGTGTCCTCCCGTGACCCTGAGGAGGACTATGGGGAAAAGCCCTGACCCCGTAGTTCTCCTTAAAATTTTTTAAACAATTTTTCAACATTTTTTTTCTTCACTCATTTCACTTTTATTCTATTCAGAGTAGCCGAGCCGAACGGCGTTCGTCGTCATTCTGCTACTCACTTACTGCCGTTCGGCCCCTATCAGAATATATGTGAATGGGGGAGAACAGCCGCGGGCGAGCTGCCGGAGCGTCGGCTCAGCCGATCCAGATGTTGGATCGCCTGACTCAAACTCCTTCTGCACTTCGGCTCAGCTGACGGAAGTGTGAAATATCACACGGGTGCAACGTTTCGGGGGGTCACGCAGGACCTCTGTTGCAGACCTCCAGTATCTGTCACCGTTGGCTGTACAGGATTCCATGCGCACATAGACGGGACTATACGAGGGGCAGGCGGATCTACATCTTGTGTGTCACTAACTTGTTGTAAAATGTTCCCCGACGTGTTCACTTCCATGCATGGTATGTGCCTCGGGGTGGCGGTCAAGGCTTGAATTGCTCCTGTTTCTAGGGACAACTCACATGGAGCAATGAGAGGGGATTGCGGCTGAGTACAGAAGGTCGGGAATCCCGTAGAATTCCAGAATGTTTCGTTATAAAGTATCTATTATTAAAGTTGTTTTGTCTCTTTTCGGGGTGTTGATGGATCTTATATGCGGCTTTTTGTCTTTTATTTCGGCGCGTTCACTGTTATTTGTGCTTTCCAGCGCGGTCTACCTGTGCGGACACTCTGCCGGGGCCCAATTGGCAGCCATGACGCTGAGCACAGACTGGTCACAGTATGGGGGGGTGACCCCGGACATTAGAGGTCAGTGGAAGACAACAAGAAGAAGGTTTATCTGTATTGTAAGAAAGTCTTTATTGCATTTAACATAAAAAGTTGCTTTTTATCCACAGGGTACGTTTTCCCTTTTGAAACAAATGCTGCACTTACCCCTCTCCTCTGGTTCCGTCCCCCCCCCCCGGCACTTACCTCTCTCTCCTCTGGTTCCGTCCTCCCCCCCGGCACTTACCTCTCTCCTCTGGTTCCGTCCTCCCCCCCGGCACTTACCTCTCTCCTCTGGTTCCGTCCTCCCCCCC